GCATTGGGCTCTGTTCAGCAGGGAGCCTGCTTCCTCCTCTCTGGCTGCCTGCCTCTCTGCCTACTTGTGACCTCTGTCAAATAAATGAATAAAATCTTTAAAAAAAATTGATTAAAGAAAAAAAGTAAATGCCCTTTAAATAGCGACAAAACTAGCCTCTGATAAGGAATCTTTGCTCTGCCCATCCAGGCAAGGGGAGCCATGTGTTCAGGGGATGGGATGGGTAAGGGCTCTCCTGGCCAGCCTTCTAGGCTTGTCACTTGGCCCACCTCTGAACCAACCCCCTTCCCATTACCTCACAGCTGTCTGACACCAGTCCGAGGGAGCAGCCTCAGTAACAGACATTGCGTCTTGGGTCAGCAGGGATCAGAGGCCCACCTGAATCCTGGAGGACTGCTGGTCTGGGAACACACCACCCAGAACTTGAAATCTCAGGTCCCATGACATTTCCTGCCTCAAAATGATCCTTTGAGGGGCATCTGGGTGGATCAGTTAAGTATCTGCTTTATGATCAGGTCAAGATCTCCCACCCTGGGATTGAGCCCCACACTCGGCACCCTGCTCAGCAGGGAGTCTGCCTCTCCCTGCTTCTTCAGTCAAAAGTGCGGCTCAGCCAGTTGAGTGTTAGCCTTCGGCTCAGGTCATGATCCCAGGGTCCTGTAATTGAGCCCCATGTTGGGCTCCCAGCTCAGAAGGAAGCCTGCTTATTCCTCTCCCCCCTGCTCATGCTCTCCCAAGTATTTTTTAAAAAACAAACAAACAAAAAAAGATGATCCTTTGAGCAACTGCAGGACTACCAGGCTTCCCTGCTCGGTTGCACCCAGAAAGGGCCCACAAGGGGGCGTGTGGCTGCTCTGGGAGCCTCTGCCGCCTATAGGCAGAAAGCTGATGGTGCAATGCACTTTCCTAACTGCAGGAAAGAGCTTCCAAGTAAAATCCACCCCGTCTAGGCATGCTCTCAATGAACCGCAAAAGGTGGACAAGGCAAACGGTGACACCCCAAAAGAGGAGAGTTGGCCAAGTGGGGAGGTAGCTGGCCCACAGCTTGTTCTGGTTTTACAGACCACGGTGGTCTTCCCTTGTCCGTCACCTGGCAACCGTGGCTGTGCAAGCTATAATGCAACATCCCTAGCATCACCAGAGGTCACTCACTTTACTGACACCCCTACAAATCATTCCAAAGTGACCCCAATTCACCCAAAGACCTTAAAACATTTCAGAAAGTTCTAAGTCCACCTCCACACTCAGAAGGTTCCCCTGCAGAGGTACACATACAGGTCGCCTTTGCTCTGCTCCCCCACCCACACAGGCTCTGCAGCATGTAGGATGGACACGCCAGCATCTAGCACACTGCCTCGCCTTCATGTTCCAGGATGTTGGCCACCTCTCTGTGGTCCACCTGGTTCCTCGGGAATACTGAGCATAAGATAGCACAAATACAGGGATGGCTCTGTTGATGGACACCGGTGGGAAAGGACTGGAAACACTCCTCACCCACTCAGATCCCCATGGTTTCCTGGAAATGACCATCAGACCCAGTCATGACTAAAAGACAGTTGAGCCTTGAGGCATGCCGTGCCAGCAGCTGGAGCTCCAGGGTCACTAAGTCACCTACCCCAACAACACTTAACATTTGTGCTATGAACAGTATAATGTGGGGCTGTCGGGTTAAGCAGGAGATAAATATGGTCAGGAAACCAGACTGGAGTTAAAACTGTTTAAATTCATTTTGTGCACTATGCTTCCTAAATATCTGACATGCAAGCTTCAGTGTCTGGCCCATTTAGAAATTTAGGTACTGGTTTCATTTAACTGGCTGGGTGTGGAAGCTAGACTTCAGTAACAGTTTAACAGAAGAAAAACAGCTCCCTGTGGTGTTCAGACATCAATATTCTGCAACCCTTGTACCAGGGTAATGAAAAACAGGGTAGAGCACCTGGTTGATTCAGTTGTTAAAGGTCTGCCTTTGGCTCAGGTTGTGATCCCAGGGTTCTGATTTTGAGCCCCACATCGAGCTCCCTGCTCAGAGGGAAGCCTGCTTCTCCCACTCCTACTCCCTCTGCTTGTGTTCCCTCTGTCAAATAAATGAAAAAAAAAAAAAAAAAAAAACAACAACAACAAAAACTTAAAACAAAACAAAAAAACCCAACCAACTTTACAGGGGAACCCCTAGCAGATACTACCTTAAATGCTCGGTCATCACCAACAACAGGAGCTATGTGGCCTGAGAACACAGCATCACTTATGCTAAGCCTGTAAAAAGTGCAAACCCAAACTGAACCCATGAGCAAGCCAACAAATCCAGATATAGGGACCTTCTAAAACACTGGCCATCAGTAGTCTCAAAAGATGAAGATTTGAACAGAGCCTAGGACGGTGGGCAGAGACCTTGAAGCCCTAGCACCACGTGAAGTCCTGGGGCACACTTGGGCCTTCTTTTCCACAAAAACACTCCGTATGGTAACATGATTTATTATTTTATTATACACTTTATAAAAAGTCCACACACACATACCTCCCCCTATGGTCACGAAAAGGGCTCACATCTTAACATGAACAGGCCATCTTCTAAAGCAGGCCGTATTATTTCTCATACCCTAAGTTATTTCTTGCCCCTCAAATATACCCCAACTACAAAAAATGGAGCTGCAAAGGGTATATAAAGACAAATGAGTTTTTTTGTTCTTGTTATAATACAATCACTTAAGGTGACTAAAGAACCATGAGTCCAAGGGGGGGCGGGGAGGAAATCACAGTAAGGAATGGAATGTGTATGTTACCTGCAACAAGCAGCTGACTTCTCTGTCATCAGTGGCACCTACTCTAAATTAACTGGTTTGTAGGGATATGGGCACATGAAACCATGAGACAACATGCACCAGGCCATTGCTTATACTTGGTTCCAGAAGGCACGTTTCCTGCACTCTTTAATAACTAAAGACAAATTACAGGAATACCCAGTATGTAGATTCTGACCATTCTGAGGTATTAAATGCATAAGGAAAAAGATTAGTTATGTCCAAGTAGCATGCAATAGAAATATTTTTAAACCAACATGGTTAAGTGTTAAGATTTTTAGAAATCAAAATATTTATTCACATAATTTTAAACTGAAGTCAAAGGTAATAAATCTTCTGTGGTAATGATTTAAGTGCAAGTGATGCTGGCTTTCTTTCACATTCGCCTCCTTCATTCAGAGAAAAGGCAGATCAGTTGTTCTTGAACAAGTCAATGCAGCTCTGTAGGAGGGAGACATTGTTCTGGAAGACAAAAGTTAAAGTAGACCAATGCATCTCTCTAGAGTCCAGACCTCCTACTTATCTGTAAGAATTTGACTCAAACCCACCAACTTAAGCTTTTCATAAGAGATTTAAAGCCAACCAAACTGGGTTAACCTTTTTCTTCATTAAATCACAACTGCACCTCACGCTACAACATGCACTCCAATTTCATGTTGGTGAGTTCCTCACCCTCTGAGGGTCTGGGACTACCACCCTGGAGAGGCTCACAGCTGCCACCCCAGGTCTGCTCTCAATTCAATCCTGCCAATTTTGCTGTGATGTAAACTAAACACTACAGAAGAGTTGTTCTTTAAACTGAAGGCCTTGGAAAGACCAGATAAAAAGGTGCTAAAAATTAATTATGAGTGAGATTATAAATGATGAATATTCATAAAGGTCTAGCACAAATTGCTTTACAAAGTTCTCACTTAAAAGGAACTGAGAAAACTCCGAACACCCAGAACACCATGGGTATGATTTACATAGGCAGGACACTCTAAAACCCCAATTTAAAAGGTCATGCACAGCAAGACTTGAACTTAATCAAAAAGTAAATAAATGGTATAGTCAAAGAAACTCAAAATACACACATATGTTCAAAGTCTTCCTGCTTAACCAGTGCTGACTGGCCAGTGGCAGTTCCCTCCTACTGTGGCTCCCTGCTGATCCTGTAGCCCTGGGCCAGACAGCACTCCCAGGACTCACAGGCAGCTGTACCCAGGAGCTGTGTGAAAAGCCACGCCCAGAAACTGAGCCAACTGCTCCGGGAAACACTTTAAAGGCTCCTTAAGGAGATTCTAATGCATACCCAACACTGAGAACCATTTTTCTCCACCTGTTCCATACCAAATTAAGCTACAAACCTTAAATATACCAGGAAGTTCTTCCTTTCTAAACAAAAAAAAAATTAAATATCCTAAAACACTAATATGCTCTTCTCAAAAACACTATTTCATCATATGTTACAGAATTTTGGTTTGCGGAAGAAAAAATAATCCAACAAGTAACTCCCACCTATATCACAGGAGATTAATACCTCAAAGCAAACCTCATCTGCCAATGATACTGGGATGGTGAGCTGGGACAGTAACTGGGGTGGGGGGTGGCCTAAAAAGCTGGCTTGATTTAAAGGAAAAACACTTACCCTGGCATGCTTTATTTCCAGTTCAGACATTTCAATTAAATTCTTTCTAAATGCTGCCACTCTCTTTCGTTTGAAATTGACTAGTTCTATAAAAGAAAAGTTACCAACAAAAGCTGAACAATTTTAATCTTTAATTTCCAAACATCATTCTTACATATAATCTCCAACACTTTGATACAAACATTTTCTCCTATTTTTTATTATCTCTGCAAACTGGGACACATACCTGACATTTTATGGACAATATAGTGATGTGCCTGCCTTGTCTTTATGTATTTAAAGTTTTATTTATTTGAATGAGAGTGAGAGAGAACATGAGCAGAGAGGGAGTTAGAGGGAGAAGCAGACTCCTCTGCTGAGCAGGGATCATGACCTGAGCTGAAGGCAGATGCTTTACTAACTGAGCTATCCAGGCACCCGCCTTTGTTTTTTAAAATTTTATTTTTAAGTCCTATCTACACCCAACGTAGGGCTTGAACTTATAACCCTGAGATCAAGTCTCATGCTCTTACCTACTGAGCCAGCCAGGCGCCCCTGTCATTCATTGCCTTTAAAATGAACACTGCACCCAATTACTGAGCATCAAAATTGAGAGAATACCACGGACTACTTAGAGAATCTACGAAATGAGCAGTCTTGCCCTAAACCTCTAGCTACCAGTACTTATGGAAAGAAGGCTGGGGAGGTGGTGAGCCACACATACATAACCTGCACCTACATCCATTTCTTTAAATTATTTTTAAACTTTGAAACTACTGCTTACGTATGTTCAGACAGCTTCTCTGTAGACAGATCTATACAATATGCCCTTTACATCTGTTGTTTCCTATCACCAAACACTATTCAGGATTAATGCCCCATTAAAAATTAGGGTAAGCCAGTAAGTACTTTCTCCCTTGGAGTCCTTCCATAAACCCAGTTCTGACCATCACTCCTTTGGTCAAAATCCTCTCCAGCTTCAGCTGGGGGTCCAGTCCTCAGGAACAAACTTACCCTCCTGCACCACGTCTAATGTAGCACTGGCCAAAAGAAAGATCAAGCAGCCAACATTAAAAAGTAAAAACTTGCAAAACAAATTATCATGATGGGTTAATTACCTTAGATATACTAAATAGGTCTTCGGGGAGGTCAAGATAAACTCACCTTTCCTCTAGGCCTGCACCCAGGACCAGGACTCAACGCTAACCTGTCTCATCTCCCGTTGATGCCTGTTCACACCACCTTCATTTGTACTATGCTCGTTCAACTGACTATCAGTTCAGTCATGAATTTCAGGAAGAACCTGGACCAGAGGCAGACAAGACCCATTCACTGCAGTATTCTACAAAATACTGTACTTTTAAATATAGTATAACCAGACTTACATTTTGAATAAAGAAGATAAAATCTAATACAGGAACAAACCTTAGGCAAGGACAGGCCTAAACTGGCACCACTATAAAGATTGTGATTTTTCTTTAATCTGCTCTGAAGCTATCAGAGCTAGTAAACTCTTGCCTATGTAATACCGTAAGATTTCAACCCAGTAGTTTAAGTTTGTTCTTTTCCTTATAAATTAGCTATTAAACAAAGGACAAGATTTTACTATGCTAGTAAGGAGGTTCCTTTGAAAAATAATCCAAAAGCCATGTGCACATATCTGCATGCCCTTTTCAAGATTTTTGTACAGAGGAGCTCTGACTTACAGTTAAGGAATTACAATACTGAAAACAATGAGCCAAGACAATGGAACTCTACTGCTCATTGCTGGTTATCAAGACATTATCAGATAATGTGGGGGGGGGGTGGAAATGTTCTCAGAAAACAAAGTCTTAAAATGAGACAGGGATTTCTCAAAGAAACCCAAGTTTGGGATGAATCAGGTACAGAGTATCACTACAATTACATTCACATTCAGGAAAATAACATTATTGGGTGCCTGGGTGGCTCAGTCAGTTAAGCATCTGGTTTCAGCTCAGGTCATGATCCCACAGTTCTGTATCAGGCTTCCTACTGCTCTGTGGGGAGCCTGCTTCTCCCTCTCCCTCAGCTGCTCTCCCTGCTTGTGCTCACTCACATGTTCTGTCAAATAAATAAAATCTTAAAAAAAAAAATGACTCTAATAATGACAAGGAAGGAAATGTGGAAAAGGGAAGGCTTGTGTTTAAAAGGTGATGATGCCAAGGGTGTAGGAAGAGAATGCTAGAACTGGGGGAGAGGAATCACTTTTGCAACCATCACAGTAAAGGCTGGCTCAGACAAGAATCAACACAGACTAAATTTAGGGAGAAAGTATGATGAAGAGCAGGCTATCTGCAAGGTCTTAAATTGTCTCCCCACACACTGCTGATTAGCAGCACAGGGAAAAAATTAACTATACAGTGAAGAAATTGGGCAACACCTTGAGTGGATAACCAAAATTAACACCACAAATGAGCGGAAAATGGAATATAAAGTGCCCTCAGATGAGACACTTGAAAGACACATAACTCAGTATTCTGCTGGAAATGCACAAACAGAACCTATTCATGACAGAACAGGCATTCCAAAAATGAGGAACACTATTCACTATTTACAGAGCCTGTGGTCCCCCAAAAGGCAAATGTCGTTTTAAAAAAAGGCAGGGGCAGGGGTCCCTTCTAAATTAAAGGAGACATAAGAGCTATGGTAGCCTAACGGCAACCATAGACAGGAAGACGTTGTTGGGACAAACAACAAACTGAGAATATAGACAACAGGCTGGAGTGTATTATATCTAAGCTTCCCAAAGTCAGTAAGTATACTATAGGGATGTAAGAGAAATACACAACAAAAGCTTTTTTTAGGGATAAAAGGACAACAGATACAACTTAATCTCAAATGAAAAAACAAAAAAAACCCACCCCGTGTGCATGTGCAAGTGAGGAAGCAGAAGAGGCAAACTGGACAACTAGGGGACTCCCGGGAAAGAATGCGTGGGTGTTCTCTGCATTATCTGTGCAACTTTTCTCTATAAGTTTGAAATTACTTCCAAATAAAAAGCAAGAAGTAAAGAGTAGCCCTGTTCAACCTTCTTTTGCAGATTCAGAAAGCTGTTCAAATTTCTGGCAGCATTCCTGCTGGTGTGCCTCAGCCATCTTGACATCTCTGCTTTTCAACCGGGCCTTATCCAAGGCTTTGTTTGAGTTCTCATAGTCAGTGAGGGCTTTGGTACGTCTGTATAAGAGATCCTGAGAAAAAAATTAACAGACAGGACATGGTAGTTAAACTTATCCTGAAAGATTGCTAGAGACCAAAACGGGAAAACTAAGTATCTAAACTACTCTAAAACTAAAAAATAAAAAAAAAGTGGTGGTGGTGGTGGAGGGGGACAATGCAAGGCCCGAAATGTCAAAAGGCAACAATCTAGTCCACTTCTACCTCCTCCTTCTATTACGTTTTTTTTTTTAATCTCAAGATTAGCCTGGGGGCAATACTTCTTGCAGCACTGTTGAGAGCTTTTTGAAATTCTTTATATGGATTAAAAACACCCCCCACAAAACAAAACAAAACAAAAAACCCCAACAGTGAAAACTAAAAATCATTTCCATGATTCAATCATGGAAAGCAGTTTCAGAAAATTAACCACCTTCTACCAGAATAGAAAGCACTGCTGGGCGTGTCAAGTGATGCTACTAAAACAGTGAGGCAGCAGAAGAAAGTTGTTCTAACCTCTCCCTACCACAAGCCCTGCCTCAAGTCCACCAGAGGCTCTCATCTGAAACCAAGACTATTTGCAATCTCTAGGCAAGTACGAGTTACCTCCTTATTTAAAATAGAACAGGTATGGGAGGTTCAACATACATGTGTTTTAAAAACCTGGCTTTATCATCATTTCAAGTCCATTCAAATAGGAAATAAGAAATATAGTCTAATGTAAAAAAAAAATAAATATAGTCTAATGTATATAAAAATATAAAACTAAGGAAATATGTCAAAAGACAGATTAACTAAATATGAAACTATTGAGTAAAATAATGAATTTCTACTTTCTAATGACATTCACAGCAGTGTTATGCCCAGTGAATGCATGTTTCATTCCCAAAGGTCATTTGCTTACCACTTAGTCTTGTTTTTGATAAGTAATGGTTGGTTTAGAGACTCAAAACTGCAATTCAATAAAAACTCACAAAATCCCCAAACCTTTTCTCCCTCAGAAACAGTTGTGTTCAGTTTTACCACATCCAATAGCCTATAATCCCCCAAATTTCTATCTGTTCACTTGGCACCACCCCTACTGCTCCTGATACAAAGTAAGGATACAATGCCACAAAAAGGTATGTTACTGCAGAAAAATTTCAATCTAAAATGGAACCAGAAGCTATGAAGTGGAGAATCTCACATGTGCCCTCAAAAGAATGGAACCTACGAAATAAGAGACTGATTTCAAATGCCCAATTTACAGAAGACCACAAGATACTGGTCTCCTGACTTACCAACTCACTTCTTGGCAGAAATATCCTCAAGCCAAATGAACTTACTGTTTGGATGTCCCTCTCTTCACACTCCTACTAAATACAAGCCCAGCCCAAAGCCTTAATGTACTTGCCTGTAGCTTGCTATAGCATCTGTTTCCTGAACTCCAATTCCCAGATCAGCTCAATTTCTGGCAAACTTATCTCAGTTTGCTTAATTTATTATTTATACAAACAGTCCTGAAAAATTCCCATCTTCTTTCATTTTCAACAACAAAATACATCTCTAACATGAAACCTCTTCTGGGTAATGCAACGTGGTCTTGTATTATAACAACTGCTGCCTTACCTTAGCAGCCTCTATGTTGAGCATGTAGTATCGGAGAAGCTCTGTCAGCTTTAAGTCTTCATCGGAGGAGACTCGACTTTCTACTTTCTAATGAAAAAAGTAAAGGTCACCATCATCGAAGCAGAAATCTACAGATTATAAAATATGTATTATGAAGACCAACATAGAAATCCTTACCCTAAGTTTTTCAAATAGCTCAGCAACCTTCAATAGGTACCTGAAAAAATATACATGATTTTGGCTTACAGTCTTAAATCATGTATGAAATAGGACCTTATCAGTAAGACATGAATGAGTAAATGCAGGAATCTGAGCCACTGGTGCTTTAGAATAATTTATCAAAGTAGTACTTTCATCACCAACTGGCCCAATCTAGCAGAGAAGATGGTTACAGAACTAAGCACATCTACAGTGCACACTTGTGGCTATCAACCTCTCAGTGCCCCACAGCCACCCTGCCATGCAGAAACTGTATTCCAAGATAGTCTTTAATCAATATCAAAGCTGTGTTAACCAAGGGCAGGTTCTAATGAGCTGTCACCATGGGTATCCCAAAGACAGAAATATGTTATTTAAATAAATACAATTTTTAAAAAGCTACAGTTTCATTTGGGTTTTGACAGTAGCTGGACTTCCACCTTCAAATCAGAAATACCACCACCCGTTATACCAAGCAAGCCCTAGGTGTTAAGTAGAATGCAGCCTCACACCAGAAAAGCCCAGGATGAAGAAACTGAAAAATTCATATAAAAATCTCAAAACCAGACTGGGGTCACTGTATTCGCCTTAAGACCACCTTAACCAAAACAAATTTCTTAAGTCCAGGGCACTTATAAGTCTTAAGTCTGTCCAGGTAAAACACCATTTGCCAGAGAATGTATAAGGCAAACTTGGTTCAGACACAAACCCAGAATTAAATCAATATAAAAAGGAGACAGTTTGACAAAAATAAAATCTTTGACAAGAGCTACCGTGTTTGTTATAGAAGTGCCCACTGAGTACCCTACAAACATCTTAAATGTGTCTATGTTCACAGGGTGTGTAAAGATTTGAGTCTTTTAGAGACCATACTATCCTCTACTCTTGATGAGCTGGTACTCAAAAGCAGAAGTGAAACCATACAGTCATTCTTCATTATACCACTCACGAGTTGTCAACTGGGAGTAGGTAAAATGCTTTTCCAACAAAACTTACTTTTTGATGACCGTGGGCTCTTCTAAAGCCAGGCTATGCAGGCAGGCTGCAGTGTGGATATAGTCATCTGCAACATCTGCAAAAACAAGGACAGCCCTTTTTATATGAACAGAGCTAGTACATCAGCAAAGCTAAGTGTCTAGTGGGTAAATGGTATTTACTTTTATGAGATCGGGTCATTTTGTCAGCTTTTGCACACGAATCCTTGATCCTATTATAATAGTTAATGAGGAAATTCTTCTCTTGCTCAAAGAAGTCATCTACCTCCTAAAGGGGAAAAAAGAAATTTAAGAAGCAAAACTCTGAAAAATATGAATGTATTTTTCATAAGAAGAAACATTAAAGAAATAAGCTCAAGCATAAGAACTTTAACCTCCATGGACCAGAAAAACCCAAACTAACAAGACAGCATTTCATACCCAAGATTAGCAAAACTCAAGTGCTAGCAGGAAATATCAACAGAAAAAACCACTTTCAAGAGCCATTCAACAACGCCCAGGAAAACTGTGGTATCCTCTCTAACATCCAACAATCCTGCAAGAGAAGTGGTTCTGCCTGGCAGGCTGAAACCCAGCAGTAGATACCCACATCTCTGTATGGGCGGGAGACGTGAGGGGGTGTGTATTCGGTGGGCACCAATCAGGGATGCCAAACATTCCATGTTATATGGGAACAGGATAGCCTCATACACCTAAAAATGCACCAAGGAGAATTTCCTAGTTTCCAAATTCCTGACAATGCCCTCTACTCAGCACCTATAACCTGGGCTCACTGCTCAGGCCCTTAATAAGTGGCAATGTTGGACACAAGATGGTAACTCAGTTAAAAAGTGGAAGGGGCTGAGAAGAGCTAAATATCAATTTAGTCTTTTAAGACCGCTTTGTCCAACAGAAATATGTGAATGACATACGCTATTTTAAAACTTTCTAGTAGCCACATTATAAAAATAAGTAACAAAAAAACAGGTGAAACTACCTTTAATACTTTATAGTCTTTTCTTCACATCAGATCCTTGAAATCTGACATACGAATAAAATTAAAAATTTGGTGCGGCTGGGACTACCAAAGTGGACAGTGTAGTTCTGCAGAATGTCATGAAATACTATAATCTTGTAGCTTATTTTCTTTTTAAAAAATAATAATTGGTGGCTCAGTGGGTTGAAGCCTCTGCCTTCGGCTCAGGTCATGGTCCTGGGGTCCTAGGATCGAGTCCCACATCGGACTCTCTGCTCAGCAGGGAGCCTGTTTCTCTGTCTCTCTCTGCCTGCCTCTCTGCCTACTTGTGATCTGTCTGTCAAATAAATAAATAAAATCTTTAAGAAAAAAAAAAAAATAATAATAATTGGGTAACTGCTCTCTATATAGAAAAGGAGAAAATGAATTAAATGAGACTGTTCTTATCCTCTCACTTAAGAGAACACGGTATTTTAGAAATATAAGTGAAAATTCAGTAAGTAGATAAAAATACCCAAGATTTTAAAATTACTTACATTTCTGTGAAGTTAATACATTTGTTTCACAAATATCTCTTGTGAAGAAATAAAAAGTCAGCTATTCACATGAAGTCAAGAATTTTCTGCAACAGCTAAAAGCCCTTACCTTAACTCCAGAAAAAAGGACCTCATCAGCACTTTTCACCACACTTTTGAAAAAGCCACCAAACACCTCTTTGGTATTTTTCCGCCGAACACTTAGCTTGGGAAAAAAAAAGAAGAGAAAGAAGAAAAAGAAGAAAATCATGTAATAGTTTATGGTATACATGTTTTTCTAAGTACTTTTGGCTTTAAATATCTTCCAAGTGATACTGTGTCCTAGTATAGGAACACACATAAAATATCTTTCATTCCATCTTAGCCACCAGGTCTAAGTAGAAATAAATAGCAAAATTTAAACGCTGGTCATAGTTCTAAAAGTATAACCCAAGATATTCTGGAAAAATACGTGGCACTAAGTCTCACTGGCTTTTATTTTATGTTGTACTTATTTATTTAAAGAAGGTTTTACACCCAACATGGGGCCTGAACTCATGGACCCAAGATCAAGAGTTGCATGCTCTTCCTACTGACCCAGCCAGGCATGAGATAGTGGCCTTTAAAAAATCTTTCCTTGAATTATTGTAATGTCCTATGCTGTTGACTGAACTTTACTGGTTTGAAGATGCTGAGGAAATTTTAAGTAAGGCCTGCCTCACACATATCAAGAAGTAATTAAAAAAAAAACCAACAACAACAACAACAAAAAACTAAAGGGGGGAGAAAAAAAAAGGGCAACAGGAGCTCCTGGATGGCAGAGATGGTTAAGTGTCTGCCTTCAGCTAAGGTCATCATCTCCAGATCCTGGGATGGAGCCTCAGGTCCAACACCCAGCTCAGCAGAGAGTCTGCTTCTCCCCCTCCCTCTCCCCCAGCTTTTGTGTGCACACACCCGCTCTCAAATAAAAATCTTTCAGAAAGGGGGGAGAGGTGCAAAACATACAATTCCTTCCAACAAACAGGTAACCAAAAGCAAATGTGAACTGAAAATTCCTCTCAATCCCAAAATTGGGGTGCCTGTGTGGCTCAGTAAGTTGGGTATCTGACTTCCCACATCAGGCTCCCTGCACAGTGAGCAGTCTGTTTCTCCCTCTCCCTCTGCCCCCCGCAGCTGCTTATTCTCTCTCAAATAAATAAAACCTTTCAAAACAAGTAACAATCCCAAAATTAACGGAGGGCAAAAACCAGTCCTTCATTAAAAGGGGCAAAAAGTAATCTTCAAGCAGCATTTTACAAAAGTATCTTGAAATGGGGAGGTGGGGACACTATCTAAAAAAGGATTTCACCGTGCCATTAAAAAATTCAGTACTTTTAAAAGTCAATTTTCCAGAAAAATTTATCAGGCCATCAAGTATATTTCTATTTATTTTTTTAAAGCAATCTCTATACCCAGTGTGGGGCTCAAACTCATGACCCCAAGGATCAAGAGGTGCATGCTCTTCTGATAGGCAGCATGGTGCCCCTCAAACATATAAAAAACAAAACAAAACAAAAAAAACAACAGTCAAGTGGGGGTGCCTGGGTGGCTCAGTCAGTTAAGCATCCACATCCAACTCTTGATTTCAGCTCACTCAGGTCATGATCTCAGGGCTGACGGAACAAGCGCCACATCGGGGCACTGTGCTGGGTCTAAAGCCTGTTCTGGATTTTCTCACTCTCCCTCTTCTCCCTTTCCTAAGGGGCTAGGAGAGAGAAGAGAGAAGAATTGTCATGTGCATTTTCAATGGATCATGGAAATGGGAACAAAAATGCCTTACATCCTGATCATATTCCAGGAACACATGGAAGTTGCGATCCTTACTGAGAACAGGGTGAGAAGAGAGCCGCTGTAGAAAAACTTCATGGGAGGATACAGTCTTCTTAAAGACCGCGAGATACTCACTGGAAGAGAAACACACAAGGCATTAAGCTGGGACCACTTGACTAAATAACCAGTATTGGTCCCAGTTATCACCACTGTTCTGCTCATACCACTTAAGGAAAACACTCAAACTAGACCAAAACATTCTGATACAACCTTTTATCTAGTTAATAATTAGGCATTTGCCATTTGGGAACCTGTGGGGGAAAAAAAGGGAAGGAGAAAGTAATACTACAACGGGAGCTGAGAGAGCAAGCCTACAAAGCCCCAATCCACATGCAATGGCTGCTAGTATTTAGCAGCCACAGAACACTGGCTTCCGTCAATCAAAACGCCTTAAGTCCTGCAGCCACATACAGAGCACTCAAGTCTAATAAGGCTTGGAATTATCACACATTATAAAGTCATCTCAACCTAGGCATTACAGATCACTCTCAACTTCTTAGTGGTAGGACTTTAGTCTATTGTGCTCAGTACCTTATCCTCAGAACAGGCCATGACAGGTACTCCAGCATGTGTGGAATGACTTAGTACCTGGAGCCAAGTGAACACCAGCCCCAGAGACTATGGACACTGGGCAGAGCATGGAGGACAACCGCTGAAATGGGCACCACAATGATAGTGTGAGCGGGGAGAGAGGGTCAAGAGAAAGAAGTGCAAGGATAATCTCATAATTAACTTTAATATAAATCCCCAACTGTGATACATTTTTGTTTGAAATACTTATAATCAAGTTAAAAGATGCTTCCTATGAACCTAGGACTTCTTTCAAACCATCGATGTGATTGTTATTCAGAGTGCTCCTCGTAACCACATCATCGCAATCTAGTTTCAGCTATACCTCTAGTCACCGAACTTCGCCGGCGGAGTTATCTATACAGACAAAGGCTTTCTTCTTCACTATGCCAGACCAGCATTCCGTAACAAGCAGTCCACCTGGGGGAAAACAATCACTCTATCCAGTGTCCATAGGGAATCAACTGCAAAATGCAGTTCTACAAGACCACGCATTAGATAACTAACTCCATACTTAAAGAGAACTGCCAGCTTCTTCTGATTTCTATATACATCATCACTTTGGTTCTTTTCAAAAGAACAGAGTCCTGGGGGTGCCTGGGTGGCTCAGTGGGTTAAGCCTCTGCCTTCGGCTCAGGTCATGATCCCAGGGTCCTGGGATCCAGCCCCACATTGGGTTCTCTGCTCAGCGGGGAAACTCTTCCCCCCACTTCTGCCTACTTGTGATCTCTGTCAAATAAATAAATAAAATAAAATACAAACAAACAAACAAAAAAAACCCCAGGGTCCTATCAAGAAAACCCACTTACGCTTCCAGCTCTTGCTTCATCTTAGCAAATTCTTCTTTGGTCATAGACCCTTCACCCTCTCCCAATTTCTGCATCTTTTCTCGAGGGCCATCAAAGTCAGGCTTCGTAGGAGCAGGTGGAATCTGTAGGAAAGGCAGGTTAACTCGCGAGCACTCTTGTCCTGGCAGTGATAGTCTACTCAGTGTCTATGCACAAAGAGGCAACCAGCCCAGTGGGGCTATCTAACAGGTCAGCCTGTTCTTCTCTTAACCTTATTCCTCTTGGCCATATAAAAGAAGTCTCCTCCCCACAACTGGACACTCAGACTGTCATTTTTTCAGGTTACCCATTACGGATGATTTATAGGGGATAATAGTGTTTAGCCTGCTTCAATGTCCGTTTAAAATGTATATATTACAATCAGTGCTAAAATGAAGTCAATGAAGCACCATCAAGATTAGGCTCTAGGGGCGCCTGGGTGGCTCAGTGGGTTAAAACCTCTGCCTTTGGCTCAGATCATGATCCCAGGGTCCTGGGATTGAGCCCCGCATCGGGGTTTCTGTTCAGCAAGGAGCCTGCATTCCCCCCCACCCCGAACCACCTGCCTCTCTGCCTACTTGTGATCTCTGTCAAATAAATAAAATCTTAAAAAAAAAACCTTTAAAAAAATTTGGCTCTAGACATTAAAGGCAATTTTTAATTCCAGAGGATAATAAAAAGATTCCAATTTTAGGTGAACAGAATATTCTCAGACACAAGCTTCAATACTACTTTTATTAGCAAAAGACAACTGCTTCTCCTACTTCTTGAGTGGACAACAACACTTTTTAGAAATCTACTATATATCATCACCACTACTGAGGTTCTCCTAGAAATCAATTCTACCTGATGCCCAAAAGTACTAGAGAAAATACCAAACCCGAAAGGTAGAGAAGATTCAAGCCATGAATCTATTATACAAGTCTTAAGTTTATACAAGTCTATTATACAAGTCTTAAGTTTAGCCATTACCAATAGCACATGCTCTACTTGATAGATGATATCAGAGTTTTCACAACCCATTATAAAAAAATGGGTAAAAAGTCTCTAAGCAAAACAAATACGAAAAAGTAGAAGAAACTGGCTTCATAAATTATCTGATTTTCCAAAATGCACTTACAATAAGCCCAGCATAGTCTGCAGTTTCAGTAAGAGTGTCATGTAGCCACACAAAGTCTTCATGTTGCCTTGTAACAGAGAACTCTGGATTCTGAAACGTGGACAGCGTGGTCTGTGAAAAACAGTTAAGAAGTTAAATGGTAACCACCACTTTTTGATAAAGTGTTTCGGGTTTCCTGGGCTGGTGCTATGGGAAAATTCTGCATGAAAAACATCTCAGTGAAACCCAGTCAAGAACAAAAGCAGCAACACTGAGAACAAAAGCAGCAACATGTGATCTCCTTACTATAATAAAAGTCACCCCTGAAGGGGCACCTGGGGGGGCTCAGTGGGTTAAAGCCTCTGCCTTCGGCTCAGGTCATGATCTCAGAATCCTGGGATCAAGCCCCACTTTGGGCTCTCTGCTCAGCGAGGAGCCTGCATCCCCCCCTCCCCCGCCCGCCTCTCTGCCTACTTCTGATCTCTTTCTGTCAAATAAAGTCACCCCTGAAGATTCAACATGTTCTTTAAGGAATTCTTTTCACAAACTCTACCTCTCGGGTCAAGTCAGGCAGATAGAATCACATAGTTGTCACACTGCCTCCTGAGTGAGGTATGCTAATCAAGCCACCAAGGTATTAAGAGAAATCCACATGGGGAAGGACCGTACACATAGCATGTCTCTATGCTGGAGATGTGCTATAACCCAAAAGCTTTGTATAGCATCTTCAGTCGTGAATTCATAGTGCCCAATGATGGCACTGCTTTGCACTATACAGCTATTTTTTTTTAAGTTTAGAAATTACCAATTTTTCAGTAATAGTTGAGTCACTGGTTTTCTCAACAACTGTTCAAAATGTTAATAAAAGTTTTGTAGCATGGTAGCAAAGGGGGGGGCAGTTTGCCCAATTCATATTGTGCCTTAGGTATTTATTTTACTTAAACCTGTGGCAGTTTCCTCGCCTGTGATAATACAATAATACCTTAAGGTTATTATAAAGAGAAAATTAAATACATGTAAACTCTTTACAACAATGCCTGGCATAAGACAAGCAAGCATTCAGTGCATTTTAACTAGTATGGAAGGAGAACGCACACTGAAAATGTTCCTGAAAGGATGGATTCTGAAACATTGTATTTACCCTCCACATTTCTTAGACTGGCATATTGCCTCTGTCAAATTAAAAATCTGTATACAAGGCGCTTGGATAGCTCAGATTGACTCTTGATTGTCAGCTCAGATCGACTCTTGATTGTCAGCTCAGATCATGTTCTCAGGATTGGAGATAGAGCCCTGCATTGGGCTTCAGGCTCCATGGGGAGTCTGCTACGAATTATCTTTCCCTCTCTCTCTGCCCCCCCCACCCCCCCGCCGCATTGTGCTCTTTCTCTAAAATAAAATCTTTTTAAAAAACTGGATGAGGAGGGGCACTTGGGTGGCTCAATGGGTTAAGCCTCTGCCTTCCGCTCAGGTCATGAGCTCAGGGTCCTGGAATCAAGTCCTGCACCAGGCTCTCTGCTTTGCAGGGGGCCTCTTCCCTGCCCCCTGCCTGCCTCTATGCTTACTTGTAATCTCTGTCAAATAAATAAAGAAAATCTTTTTAAAAATAAATAAATAAATAAATAACTGGATGAGGAAAAAAGTGTTCTGAATCACAGCAAACAGAAGAGGCAAAGACCAATAACTTATTAAATAACAGAAAAAGCAAGCACTTCTCCCTCATGCAAAGAAAAACAAAGGGGGAAGATCTACGCTGTGCAGGTAGTGGCTCCACACATCACTGCCTGGTCTGCTTCCTCATGAAGCAGGTACAAGCCACCCAACATCAGCAGTACCCACAGCACTGGGGCTCCCCCACAGTGGAAAATGCTGAAGCGAGAGCACTTATCTGATGCTCACTACAAGCAAGATGAGGTATGTTCTCCCTCAGCAGTAGTGTTACATGGCAAACAGCAAATCATTTCAGTTGAGGACATCTCTTCTTGCCCACTGTGAATCACAAAGCTACAACACAGCATTGCTTTGATCACTAAAGTCACTTGGTCACTTACCTTGGTGTGCACGGTAAATTTGACCTTCTCTCTCTCACTGAGTGCATCAGGTATGTCAATTTGAAGCGAGGGATCAACATTCAGGTCCACAGATACAGATCTCAGCTGAAAGACAGTTTTTGGCTATTATTCTCAACTTCACTGTAGTGTTAAAAGTATCCCTCCAAAAATGAAAGCTAGGAATTAAAAAGCATTCTATACAAGATCATTTATAACAATAGCTCTTATATTTATTTAGATAGCTCTTATATTTATTTGAAATTGTAGGGAAATCTGCTCTTTAAATGAATGGGTAGGTTGAAAATATTCCTGTATTTCTGGATAAAGGAACGAGATGATCTTATGTTTATGTGAAAAATACACTTAACCAAATACTTTAACTAAAGTGGCTTGGAACTAGACAGAATAAATAAATGCCCCAACTACAAAGAACATTCAAGAGGCATTACCAGATAGTACACAGAACTGAACTAACTTAGAAACTAAAAAAACGGGCGCCTGGGTGGCTCAGTTGGTTAAAGCCTCTGCCTTCGGCTCAGGTCATGGTCCCAGGGTCCTGGGATCGAGCCTCCATCGGGCTCTCTGCTCTGCGGAGAGTCTGCTTCCTCCTCTCTCTGCCTGCTTGTGATCTCTCTCTGTCAAATAAATAAACAAAATCTTAAAAAAAAAAAAAAAAAAAAGAAAAAAAAAAAACTAAAAAACCAAATACACAAAATGGTCATGTGGTATGGGATTCCTAAGTATAAAAGAAAAATTAGCTCAAGAGAACCAATTTATAGTCAGAGATTGTTTCAAAGAGATGAAAAATCTAGACACAAGATGTAGATTACAAAAACAAAGGACTCAATTAGGAAAATCGCATTTTTTTTTGAAGATTTTATTTATTTAGTTGACAGAGATCACAAGTAGGCAGAGAGGCAGGCAGAGGGAAGCATGCTTCCTGCTGCACAGAAAGCTCAATGCAGGGCTCGATCTGATGATCTGATCTGATCCTTACCGGAGCTGAAGGCAGAGGCTTTAACCCACTGAGCCACCCAGGCGCCCCAAAATACCACATTCTTAACACATGAGGACAAGTGTGAACACTGCCCCGGAAGCAAAGTAACGGATTTTGTTATCTAGAAATTCAGAGGAAAGGAATACCCAATTTCTTTTCCCAGTTTAAGAAGAATTTTGGAAGAACTAGACTGTTGGGGGGATGTGGTTAAAATAACTTTCCCACTAAATCTAAAACATGATAAATGTCCTAATTCTGAAAGCAGACAAGCTGAGGGTCAATCTGAAGATGTGATACAAACACAGCATGACAGTGTATGCAGAATAAGCAGCTCATCCCCCTCGCACCCAACTAGGAAACTAGTGCCAAAGCATCACACTCTAGATTACTGAACCCGGGGAATGCCAAGTGAAGACTGGCATTAAGAGGATAACAGAGCAGGGAATATGAAGTTACTCCCCTCTGAATTTCCCTTTGGAATTTTTCCCTTCAAAATTTGAAGTTTAACACCAAGTGAAGTTTAAATTCAGAAACTAGAAAATCTGGTTCAATCAGTTCTATAAAGATTAAATAAATTCACATACCAAAAATGATTATTTCTCTCCTATCTTAGAAGAGAACAGTACCCTCTTTTCCTTGTGAGCACTGCAAACTAAAAAATTTTAAGCTGCAAAAACCAGTCAGCCCTTGAACAATGGTTCTCCTCTAAGAAAAAGAAGCTTCAAATAATAAAGAATAAATAGTTCCTACTCAAAGGCTTCAGGTATTAATAAGAACACAGTATACTTAACAGTCCCTGACATCTCAACCTCAATATTTCTTCCAAATGGATTCTTGACTACACCTATGAAATATTTGCTTGTTTGGCTTATTTTTCACATGTCCATTTATGAGATCTCTGCAAACAAGAGATAAAGCTTCAAGGTCAGGAATACTTCCTTTTATCACAACTGTGACTCCAGCTGACATATTTCTGATAAAAGCTTCCTTCCTTCTGTTCATTTGTCACTGGACAAATAGTGTTGGAAAACACCTCAAAATACACACAAAATCTGATTGCAGAGAATACTGGCCATCCCACCTATCTTATGTTTATTTCTGGTAGTCCAGGAAATAAAGTAGGCCAGGTGTAAAAGAGGCAAGAGATACTACTGGAAAGACAGGGTAGCCCGTAGGACAGGTCTAAGGTACATTCAAACAGCTGCTCTTCCCTAAGATTCCAGCTCCCAAGAAGTCACAAATCCTGGTTCCTAGCCAGCTCTCAATTTCTGAACACCAAAGATTCCATTTTAGCCCACTATAAGTGAAGCAAACTCCATGAGCCTACAAACTCCACATGGACTACATTTTGAATTAAGATTGAAGGACCCAAAGGAAACATAATCTAGTAAATAGGGTTCATTTAAGCACCTCAGTCAAAACCACAATCAACTTTCCCAACTGCTTTTTGTTCCACGCAACAAATTATTCTGGTTTCCTCTCTTCCCATAGGTTCAACCATGCAGAGGTAAAACCCCAGACTACTTACTATATTACTACCTTCTTTTCTTGTCAGCACAGAAATCGCAAAAACCACCGGAGGCTTCAAAAGACTTTCCATCATAGGATACCAAGCATCCAAGGTTCTCCAACATATAATCATTTTTGCTGGCACACATCACCTTAGAATTTAAATAAAAACCCAACCAACTGACATGATAGTCTTATCCTCCAAAAAAAAAACCCCCAGATAACACAGTAAGTCTGAATTTGAGGCTTAAAGAATTGTTGTCTGAAAAAAAAAGATACTAGCAAAATTCCACACATTCAGGCCATCACCAACTCAAAGAGTCCTCATTCACAAGCTAAATGAACTTTCTTGTTCTGAAAAAGCATATAACCCTCCAGATAATGAAGCAGATACATCATCAAGGAGTAAAAAGTTGTGAAATGTTCAAAGATTCTAAGTCAGCACTGTATCCTGAGTCCGGAAGCACAAGTGTGATTAAAAGGTCAGCATTCCTCCTGCTTAGTCAACAAAAACACCCAACTGCCCCATGCCACAATGCTTGCTAAATAAATCACCAGGATGGAGAGTATAAGGAAGGATTGCACCCCTCCATAAACTTTCCCCCATTCACCCACCTTCATCCCCTTTCCTAAAGGAGTATTCAGAGTACTGCTTAGCACTGCAGGCCAACACTGTCAGTCTTTGACTTGGGCCACAGATGCCAAAATGCCTAGAAGGAGGGAGACTTCAGAACTATCTGACCTTAGGCATGTTAATTTTTCTGCTTCCCAGTTCCTTAGGTACCTCCTGAGAATCCAATTTAAAACATTACCTATTCTCAAACAATGTAATCTTTCTTTCGTAGATTTCCATAGAAACCACTGTATCACATACCCAAAGTTTCAGACCCAAAGTACTTCCCTACCAGATTAATTCTTACGAGGATTACAATAATCTTTAAAAAGGGGGGGAGGGGTAGGAAACAAGCACTGTTCCATTTAGAATGCAAATTTTTAACTGTTTAAAAAAAAAAAAAAAACCCTGAATGCTATGGGGCCTGGGTGGCTCAGTTGGTTAAGCATCTGCCTTCAGCTTGGGTCAGCTTGGGTCTGGTCCTGGGGTCCTGGGATAGAGCCCCATGCTCAGTAGGGAGACTGCTTCGCCCTCTCTCTGCTCCTTCCCCATGCTCATGCTCTCTCAAATAAAAATCCTTTTCAAAAAATCTGAATGCTTGCTAAAAGAAACTGAAAAAGGGAACAACTGATACAGAATCCCTGTGCACTTCCTTACCTGTTTATCACCTTTACAGCTGGGGCACCTGATACTACTACAGATCAATTCTGCAGAGCTCTGAGCTGTGAAGGACCAATTCTGATCCAAATCTTACTTATAACTCACCCTGGTACAGGATACCACCATCTGCAAAGCTCCTTCTACAAATGGTTTAATGGCTTACACGCAAAGAGTACTCACCTATGTGACTGAAGAACACAGAAAATACTTACATAGGATGTAGTAAACGTTATGGTGACAAAAGACTCCAGTTTACACTAGCAACATACAACCAAAATGACAAGACAACACAGTGGGAAGAAATTATCTCACAGCAATTCTGTTCTGCTAGAATGAGGGCTAGCTGAAAAGCCATTTACACTGAACTACTTTGGATGGGGGCACTACTGTTGAGCACTGGGTATCATACTAAGTGATGAATCACTAGATTCTGATCCCAAAACCAATGTTATACACTGTATGTTAACTAACTACAACTTAAATAAAAATTTGAAAATAAAAAACAAAACCAGTTTTGGGGCACCTGGGTGGCTCAGTGGGTTAAGCCTCTGCCTTCAGCTCAGGTCATGATCTCAGGGTCCTGAGATCGAGCCCCGCATCAGGCTCTCTGCTCAGCGGGGAGCCTGCTTCCCCTCTCTCTCTCTGCCTGCCTCTCTGCCTACTTGTGCTCTCGCTTTAGAAAAAAAATAAAATAAAACCAGTTTTGTACACAGGAGGAAGTTAGATATGCTAGCACATGCGACACCAATGTTTCTTCCCTTCAAAAGGTTTCTTTCTCCTAAGGCTTTTGCTTTGTAATCCCTCCCACTGCCTAGGAACTAAGACCCCTATCAGGGAGGGAGGCAACATGACACATTATCCACTAATGGTCTGTTAACAGCATGGAGCCAAAACAGCAGCCATGAAGCCTGCCTTGTAAACCAGATTTTCATTTTGATCACAAGAACCAAGAAACAGGCTATTTCAGCTAGAAAGGTATGCACACCTTGCCTGGCCCAATACTCATTAGTGAGGAAATAAATTTTTAAAAATGCTCAGCTGCAGACTCACGTAGTTCTGAAAACAAGACTCACGTAGTTCTGCAAACAAGACTCACATGATCATACTTGTGAAACACATTCTGCTACTATTTCAATTCATAAGAAGTGCTCTAATACCATATCCTCCCTCCAAAGCCCTCTTCATGGTTCAAGTAATTGCTTACTCCAAGCGTTTGTTTTCCTCCATCCTGAAAGGCAACCAAAACCTATTTGTTATCTGCATTCAATTCTAGCTTTTCATCATAGCACTGGTGCATGAAAAGCAATTCAATCAACTCTAAGCAAC